CAAACTCCCAGCCAGGCTGCGGGCTGGTTTCGGGCTGGGTTTCGCTGTGTCTCACTGTCTCGCAGACGGCCACTGGGCTCACAGGGAGGGGGGGGCAGGAGCTCCAACAAGCCGTTTAGGACACAGTGAATATGCATACTATACAGAGATGCTGTATGAGAAACCAATGTGAGTTTGGAAAATTGCACTATTTAAATCTATTTCAGTATACCTCAACAATGGAATTATGATCAGTAAAAATGGCCATGACATGGGACCTTTAAGACAAAATGTAGTAGCTGTAAAAAAACAATCTAAGGAGTTGTAAATCGATTCAAAATCTTAGAAGATACATTAATCAATTTTCCGCACAATCCATTTTTTTCCATAATTTTTTATTGTGACTCCCTGTGACAGGAAGCCATTGAGAAGTCATCTTTCTACGAGCCTCTGAGGAGCATCGAGAGAGGAAATGTGACTGAAGCGTTTAAAACTGTCGATCAGATTCATGAAGGTAAGAGTCTGTGATGAAACATATTAGTTCTATTAACATCTGAACATAATCAAACAGAACCAGGTTTTGTATTTGTCCAAAGTGTTTGCGCGTCACTGTGTTCGCTAATTGTTTCCACAGGAGAGTTTAGGATGGGAGGTCAGGAGCATTTCTACATGGAGACGCAAAGCATGCTGGTAGTTCCCGTTGGAGAGGAGACTGAGTTCAACGTTTACGTCTCCAGTCAGTATCTGTCATTTACTCAGGTACACAGATGATTTTTAGACCATTAGTGATCATCAAAACATTTCTATTACCAATCTGTTAACAATTAACACTTGATGACGGCACCTACAAAAGATATCTGGGGTTTGATGGATTTGTCTCATTTTCCTGGGTGCAGGACGCTATAGCAGAGACGTTGGGCATCCCGTCCAACAGAGTCACATGTCACGTCAAACGGATCGGAGGAGCTTTCGGAGGGAAGGTCTTCAAAACCGCGATCCTGGCTTGTATTACGTCTGTGGCTGCGTGGAAGTAAGTCACAATGGAAAACCACAACACACAGCATCAGAAAATGTCTGTTTTATTCAAAACCAATTACTGTATTGAAATTAAACGAGAAACAGAGTAGACTTCAATTCTTTTTTTTATTTATGGTAATTGCTTTGACTGTTTCTGTTTAGGACTAATCGAGCAGTGCGCTGTGTTTTGGAGCGAGGAGAGGACATGTTGATCACAGGAGGCCGCCACCCTGTCCTCGCCAAATACAAAGTAATAAAAAACACTTGCCAGAAGTTGGTGGATTGAACATTGTGAAGGTTTTCAGGAAAAGTGATAAAATATTGTTATTTTATTTCAGGTGGGTTTCATGCAAGATGGGAGGATCATGGCGGTAGATATCCAGTACTTCATGAACGCTGGAAACGCAGTGGATGAATCTATCTTTGTGCGTAAAATCTTTTAATATTTATTTACCAGATGAACAGACAAACTGTAACCCTCGATCTTCTTCTTCTTCTTCTTCTTCTTCTTCTTCTTCTTCTTCTTCTTCTTCTTCTTCTTCTTCTTCTTCTTCTTCTTCTTCTTCTTCTTCTTCTTCTTCTTCTTCTTCTTCTTCTGGCAGATAGTCGAGAAGATTCTGCTCCACTTTGACAACGCCTACAACTTCCCCAACCTGCGGGGTCGCGCCGCCGCCTGCAGGACCAACCTGCCCTCCAACACCGCCTTCAGGGGCTTCGGCGTGCCGCAGGCCCTCATGGTCCTGGAGAACATGATCAATGACGTGGCCATGGCACTGGGACGCCCTGCAGACCAGGTCATTATCCAATCAATATGCTTAGCATTAATCATCAGTGGTACAATCACTAATTCCTGTTTTCAAATACTGTATCAGATCAGGGAGATGAACATGTACGAGGGTCCGTCCATCACTCACTACAAGTTTGCGTTCAGCCCGGAGAACCTGCGGCGCTGCTGGCAGGAGTGTAAGGAGAAGTGTGAGTTCAGCGCCCGCCGCAGCGCCGCGCAGGAGTTCAACCTACAGCACCACTGGAGGAAGAGAGGCATGGCCATCGTCCCCGTTAAGTTCGGGGTCGCATTTTCAGAAAGCTTCCTAAACCAGGTCAGTTTGGTCTTTTTTAGGCATGGTTAGGTTCAGCTTATTATGCTTTATATCAGTATATCTCTTAATATGCAGCGATGGTGATTGTGTGCTTGTTTGTGTGTAAAGGCTGCAGCTTTGGTGCACATCTATAAAGACGGCTCTGTTCTGGTCTCTCACGGGGGGACGGAGATGGGTCAGGGGCTGCACACTAAGATGCAACAGGTACAGGAAGTTCTTCAGTGTGACTGAAAAAGACTCAAAATGTGTGACATCTGCCAGCCCAAAATAAGTCAAGAAACAAGGTCCTGATGCTGAGAGCATTTATAGAGGAAATTAAAGCTAGTAAATAGCTAATGTTTTATTTTGAAAATATAACTGAATTTGCATATGCTGTCGATTAAAGTTAAAGAAAGGAACAAAATCAGAATCGACCCTTACCTCTCCGGTTCTGTTCCCTGTTTCCTGTCAGGTTGCGAGTCGGGAGCTCCACATCCCCGCCTCTAAGATCTACATCAGTGAGACCAGCACCAACACCGTCCCCAACACCTCCCCATCAGGTGCGTCCTACGGCACAGACGCCAACGGCATGGCAGTGAAGGTAACATCACTTCCTGTTTGGTTTTAGTGTTTTATATTGTTTTTTTATAAATGTCTCTTAAATGAAACGATTTAGTTGTAAGTTGTAGTTTATTTTACATATCATTTACGTGTATTGTTTACATTTTTCTGTTATTCAGGATGCCTGCCAGATTCTGTACCAGCGCCTGGAGCCAATCAGGAAGAAGAACCCCAAAGGGTCATGGGAGAGCTGGGTACAATTGCATAATAATGGAAAACATGAATTAGATAACTAAAGCATTTTTATCACAGATTCTGTTTTCTTTTATTTATTCTCAGGTCATGGCAGCATTTTTGGATAAAATCAGTTTATCAGTTACTGGATTCTACAGGTAGGACTTCACATTTATGATCATTTAATATTTATTTATGAAGTGACAGTAACACATTCCTGTCCTCAGAGGACCGGACCTGTACATGGACTGGGAGAAGATGGAGGGGCAGCCGTACGCTTACTTCACCTTCGGAGTGTGTTGCTGTGAGGTGGAGCTGGACTGCCTCACAGGAGACTACAGGGTCAGGACATGTTTTATTTTTTAAGAGATGAATCTGCATAATAAATAAATAACGTTGGTTCTTTTTATCCTGCAGACGGTAAGGACAGACATTGTGGCGGACATCGGGAAAAGTGTGAACCCGTCAATGGACATCGGCCAAGTGAGTGGCTGATTTAAATGCAACATAATTAGGATAACTAGGAACAGATGCTCTTCAGAGTTTACTCGAGTTTACTCGTTTCTTTTATTTGTATTTTTATCTCCATTTCCCCCTTTTTCTTTACTGTTTAACATCTTATCTTTTGTCTCTTCCTCCCTTCCTTTCCTGCCTCCTCTCTCCTCAGATTGAAGGAGCCTTCATGCAGGGTCTGGGTCTGTTCACTCTGGAGGAGCTGAATTTCTCCCCCGCCGGGCTCCTGTACACTCGCGGTCCGTCTCAGTATAAGATCCCGGGGGTGTGCGACGTGCCGCTTCACTTCAACGTCTACTTGCTGTCGAACTCCGACAACCCCCACGCCATCTACTCCTCAAAGGTTCAATATTTATTTTGCATTGTTGACGAGAAATAATAGTCCTGTGGTTTTTTCTTGACTTTTTCTCGCTTCTCTGATGTGTGTCAATTAATAAGACAATAAATGTTCCTGGTGTTTGGTTCTGCAGGGTATTGGAGAGCCTGTCCTCTTCCTGGGCAGCACTGCGTTCTTCGCCATCAAAGACGCCGTGTCTGCAGCTCGCTCTGACTCCGGGTTATTTGGCCCGTTTTCTCTAAACAGCCCTGCGACTCCGGAGAGGATCTGCCTCGCCTGCGCCTCCCCGTTGACTCAGAAGGTAAAAACTGTAGAAATATGGGTGTTTCTACAGAGAAACTGCAGTGGTTGAGATCAGTTGAAGTGTTTGTTTTACATTGTACCTGCCTAATTTACTGTGATTTCTCCAATAGCAGGTATTTATTTAAGGTCTGCTATTCTGTCATTGGTTTTATTTTACATTACATTACATTGCATTTAGCTGACGCTTTTATCCAAAGCGACTTACAATAAGTGCGTTCGACCAACAAAATACAAACTTGAAGAAAACAGAATCATATAAGTACATCAGGTTTCATAGAGCAAAAACATTTCAAGTGCTACTCAACTGGCTTTAGGTAAGCCAGTCCTTTGTTAGTATATAAGTGCTTTGTTAATAGTTCTATTGCTCGAAGTGGAGTCGAAAGAGATGAGTTTTCAGTCTGCGCCGGAAGGTGTGTGAGCTTTCTGCTGTCCTGATTTCAATGGGGAGCTCATTCCACCATTTTGGAGCCAGGATAGCAAACCCACGTGTTTTTGCTGATGGGAACTTGGGTCCCCTTCGCAGCGAGGGTGCAGCGAGCCGTTTGGTTGATGCAGAGCGGAGTGCATTTGATTTCAAAATGTTATTCTGCCATGGTGTCAAATTCCAGAGATTTTACATTTAGCATTCTCCAGTGGTGATATTTGTTGGTTTGTGTTTTATTTTGTTCCCAGATTCCAGCCAGCAAACCAGGATCTTTCACACCATGGGCCTTAAACATCTGAAACTCAACCTGTCAATCTTTGTATGTGAATACTAAAGCAGTGCATGAATGCAACAAACAATAATGAAGTAACACAGTTATACTCAATGATCTATAAACCTTCTCTGTTCTTTAGAACCAACCAATGAAATGTTTCTAATTTGTATTGTTACATTGTTATTGCAATTTAATTGTTTGCCCTTGCTCTCATCCTCCAGTATCACTATTTCAATAGAAGAATACATAATTAAGCACAATATTAAAATCAACAAATGATCTCAGTGTTTCCTCTTTATTTATTCAGTGGTATCAAGGTTCAAGGTTATTTATTTAGTCATACGAACATAGCTACAGAGTAATTATGCCGATGAAAATCTCGTGTCACAGGCTTCTCCAACAGTGCAACACAAAAAACAGATAAACAGAAAAATATAGTGCAAGTAAATAGTAATACAAAAAGAAAAATTGTTTAAAAAAGTGAAATAGTGCAATAAGAGTCTATATGCAAGCTATCGGAATAGGATATAAATAGATAAATACTTTTTTTTTTTCTGCTTCCTGTAATCCACAACCAGCTCCTTGGTTTTGCTGACGTTGAGATGGAGGTTGTTATCCTGGCACCAAGATGTCAGGTTTTCGACCTCCTCTCTGTACGCCGTCTCGTCGCAGTCGGTGATCTGGCCAATGACGGTCGTGTCGTCAGCAAACTTCACAATGGTGTTGGAGCTGTGTGTGGCCACGCAGTCATGTGTGAACAGAGAGTAGAGGCGAGGGCTGAGCACGCAGCCTTGAGGGGCTCCGGTGTTGAGGGTCAGGGTGGAGGATGTGATGTTTTCCCACCCGCACTGCCTGGGGTCTGCACATGTATTGTTTTCTTATACTGTACTTCAGAACCTTTAATCAAAAAAGTAAATTATTGCTAATTAAAACAGATCAGCCTACCTGGTAAAGACAGCTGAAACTTCAGCTTTATGTTTTTAGGTTATAGTTTTTATACACGCCACTTTGTATAGCTTTATGTCTAGACTCTAGACAAATCAGAAAGGGACACAGAAGCACTTCTAGAATGGCCCTATAATATAAAACAAGTGATATAGATGTGACTTAATATTTGTAAAATAAACTGGCTGAATTGATCAAATTAAAATGTTGATATAATACTTGTACATTTTAAAATGAATATGAAGTATGTATTTGTTATTTCCATGGGACGGTGTCATGCCGAGATATGCATGCACCTCGCGGGAGCGTGCACAGCTTCAAGCGAAAACTCCCAGACATTTCAATGATTTGTACGGCAAAACACGGTTTGGAAACGATATCATTTTCTTTTTGGTTCATCAATGGTGATAAATAATCTGAAGTCTATAGTTTATTATGAACATTAAGAGTCATTCATATTTTATTTTAGTAGCATTTCCTTTATGTGATTGGTCTAAATTTGCAAGGTTTGTTTGATTAATTATCATTATTTCTCAGGGCGAATTCCCACAGGAGCGGACAAATAATCACAAATGTACATGAGCAGTTTGTTTATAATGTACGGAGTGAAGGTAAAGAAAGCATCTGTGCATATACAAACTTTATATTCGTTTAGATTTTAAACATGTCTCAGGTCTTACTGTTTTTCTTTCTAGGGTAGAGATAAGATATAAACTGTAATTTGATAATAACTGATGTCTTAAGATCATTATTTTGGCATAAATTGGCATTTTTGTTCTCATAACACACAGCAACATAACCTCAAATGACCTGAAAAAGACTGACGTTTGCCTGCCAAACACAGTGCACGTTAATTATTTAATCAGATAACATTCTGCAGGGGAAATAGGCAATCTACACAAATGTTTGTACAGGTAATTGTATAACAATC